TATCGTCGGCGTGTAGCTGATTCACCACAAAGGGCACAACATGCGGGACAAAGTATATGACGTGAACAAAATGCAAAGTACAATAATTTAGTCTTAAACGGGAACATAATGGGCAGCCCGGCCGTCAGCCACCTGCCCTCTGGTCTATGGTTCTGTCCCATCACTTTGACACTCGTTTCCCGAATCCCCATGTGATTACTGCCACTCCATAAACTCCAAACTGGGTGTTTGGTCGCGCTGATAGCTCTCTCTCAACCGCTTCCAATCACACACTGCAACGACGTATTTTCCCACATTTCTATTGCCCTTCCTTTCTCTCTGATCCCATTGTATCAGCGATCAGAAGATGCCGAGCCCAAGTCTGAAAGCAGGAAGCCGGCCGCCGTGGGTAGGGTTGGGAGCGGCGGTTTGGGTCCAAATTGCTTCCGGAAGCTGCTACAACTTCCCGCTCTATTCCCCGCTGCTGAAATCGGTGATGGGTTTGAGTCAGCAGCAGCTCACCATTCTCGGAGTGGCCAGTGACATTGGAGAGAGTTTCGGTTTCCTCCCTGGGATCGCCTGCAACAGGTTTCCTCCGTGGGCTGTGCTTTTGGTTGGTTGTGTGCTCTGTTTCTTGGGCTATGGCGTTATCTGGCTCGTTGTCAGCGGAACTATTGGCAGCTTCCCTTTTGTGGTGGTGAGTTGCCCACTTCATTATATATCTCCATTTCTTTGTTTTGAATGATTTGAATTTTGAAATAGATTGTTTAACTCCAAAAGTTGAAACTTTCACATAGGCAGTTTGTTGTTTGATGGGTTAATTGTTCTTTTGATAAGATTTTGGAGATGATTGCTTGATTGGTGTACTTCTCAAATTTGGTACCTTTACTTTCTTCCAATGTATCTATTTTTCTCTTCGTTTATCTAGATTCTTAGGAAGCATGCGAAGTTACGGTAGATCATGTTGATATTCCATTTCTGTTGAACTGGCAGAATTTTTTACTCTTGAAGGGGAATATAGTAACTCTTATTTACCAATTGTATCCGAGAATTAAAAGAAATTCTTTAAATCAGTGATAAAAAAAATAGCAAGTCTGTTTTTTCGATGCATTTTAAGGAGCTAAGTAGTATAAGTGCAAACAAAACGCATCATTAACCTTAAATGCTGAAAACCTATCGAATTTCATTGCAGCTTCCTCTCCTTATCAAGAAATTCTGTATCGTAGTGTTCCTTGGAATTGTTGTCTTTCCCACTTTCAAATTTTTAACAGAACTTTGCTCATTACTCTCAAGGATTGAAAACCTTAAAGGTGAGAATTCAGGTACCAAAGCAATTTTCATATCTCATATGTGTCTATTAGTTCTGTGAATGGTCTAGGTATCAACAGGTTTACAGTGGCTTTCCTTAACATGCATCATTTATAAATTCAAGCAAAGACAACTTGGAGATGGAAAGTGATTAAAAATGTAGATAGATGAGGAACCTCCAGTCCACTTTAATAACAAAAAATTCCTAACTGAGCTCAAGACATTATGTTTAACTGATTGAAATTTCAAATTTTTGGAAGTTGTAAAGTCGTGTAAGTGTTGATTACTCACAAGCAGGCTCGTTTTCTAAACTGTTAGTGGTATCTCAGATCTTGGACTTTTTCAAGTCTCACTTAAGGCAAACTATAATCTCCGTAGTATTCTTGTCCTCTCTTTCTGGAGCTTTCTTGTGTGATTAAAACTGAAGCCGCACAATTAGCATCCTGCATGAAGATTGTACGTAGAGAAATGTTTTTTCCTGAGAACAGATTGATTAGATACAATTGATCCACATGTGTTTTCAACTTCTTTTTTAGTTGAAATTGATTCATCTCCTATTGACTGCATTGTACAGGTGTTATGTTCTTGTAGCAATAAGCATTTTGTTTTCCTCGTGTGTGTGTTGGAATTGATTTACATGGGCCTTTTCTTTTTCAGGCCTGCTTTCATCTGCTTTCTGTTAATTTGTTGAAATAATTACTTCACCACTTTGCTTCTTCGTGCATTGTTGTCTCAAGCTGTTAGGGGTGACTTAAATGTTGTCTTCTGAAGGAAAGTCATATTATGGAATGTATTGCCTTTTAATACAAAAGGCATTACCCACATGTCAAATTCTATTATTGTCTTTATGCATTACACAATCCCGTCCCCCTTTTATCCTTATGTCGATGTTGAATTATGCCGAAAAAGTAAAAATCTTACAGAAGGAAATTTTCAGAAATAAGCTAGTTAAATATATGTTTTAGTTTTCGCATTAGGACATCTAATATCTATCTTTTATTTCTATTGCAGTTATGGATCACACTTTTAATTGCGGCAAATAGCAATGCTTGGTTCGGCACAGCTGTGCTTGTAACCAACATGAGGAACTTCCCTCTCAGTAGAGGCACTGTGGCTGGCATTCTCAAAGGTTATATCGGGCTTAGTGCTGCTGTTTATACAGTATTATACAGTACGGTGCTTCAGGATTCGGCTTTGAATCTATTGTTGTTTCTTGCTCTTGGGATTCCAGTTTTGTGTTTAGCCTTGATGTACTTTATCCGGCCATGTACTCCAGCTTCTGGAGAAGATTCTTCGGAGCATGTCCATTTTCTCTTCACCATAGCTGTCAGTGTTTTGCTAGCTATTTATCTTGTCACTGTCACATTAGTAGAGCAGTTGGTATCTCTTAGCAACGCTATTTCCTACATTTTGGTTGCTATAATGGTTATTCTTCTACTTGCTCCCCTCGCAATTCCTGTGAAAATGACACTATTTCCTTCAAGGGCACGAGCTGAATCTTCAGACCGTCTTGCTTCGGAAGAGGGCAATGCGACCCAAAGGGATCCTTTGTTGACACCATCCTCATCAGCTACACATCTTGGCAGTTTTCTTGAGGCTGAGTATGCTTCAGATATCGAAACACTTATTGCAATTGGGGAAGGGGCAGTGAAGAAGAAAAGGAGACCTAAGAGGGGAGAGGATTTTAAGTTTCAAGAAGCTTTTATAAAGGCTGATTTCTGGCTTCTTTGGTTTCTATATTTTCTTGGGGTTGGTTCTGGAATAACAGTACTCAATAATTTGAGCCAGATTGGGATTGCATTAGGCGCTAGTGATACGACAATACTGTTGTCTCTCTTCAGCTTTTGCAATTTTGTGGGTCGTCTGGGTTCTGGTGCTGTTTCTGAATACTTTCTCAGGTCATTTCTGACTAACTTCTGCTTAACTGTTTCTGAAACATTTTTTTTCTCTTTAAGTTATACAAATTTCTGTACAAGCCTGGCTTTTTAACTTTAAGTATAACTGACACCAATTCGGCAATAATAAGTCCTGTTTTTCCACTGGCCCTGATTTTAAGTTTCGACGATCTTCTAAAGTATCTTGCTAGCTTGCTTTGTTGACTTGTGTTTCTTTTAACCTTTAATCTTCTTTTTGGTGGATAAATTTCTCAAACTTGGAAATTGTTGCTTATTCTTTAATGTGTTTTCGTTCACCTTTTTCTTCCCTCTATTGTAGGGTTAGCAGATTGCAATGTTATGTCAGAGTTTCTTGAACATCTTACTTTTATGTCAAAGTGTTCCAATATACTTTGAGATTGTGACCTAGATTCTTATACTCGTAAACTATATACGGACCTTATTCTGTTCGAGAATAAATGATCACATTCCACTCTCTGTTTTTAATGGATGAGTCATTCTTTTGCTTCTTTAAGGGCATAATACTAATTTGGTATAACATTTTGCCATTGCAGGACGAAAACAGTTCCTCGCACAGTGTGGATGGCATGTGCGCATGTAGTTATGCTCATATCGTATGTTTTATTTGCTCTAGGTATCAGTGGTACTCTCTATGTTGCAACTGCTCTGTTTGGTATCTGCTATGGGGCTCAGTATTCATTGATGGTTCCAACAGCCTCCGAACTTTTCGGCTTGAAAAATTTTGCTGTAATTTACAGCTTCATGGGACTTGGGAATCCTATCGGTGCAGTACTTTTCTCCGTTTTTCTTGCTGGTGATGTGTATGATGCTGAAGCTGCCAAGCAAGGAGGGACTACATGCGTAGGTTCTGCTTGCTTTGGGCTCACATTTATAGTTTTAGCCAGCGCCTGTGGACTAGGCTTCATCTTGAGTGTAATTTTGACAATTAGAGTACGACCAGTTTACCAAATGCTTTATGCTGGGGGTTCCTTCCGTCTGCCTTCGAGCCACTAATGATTAGAGTTCGGTGACATGAATCCATAGTTCCATACAGGCTTGTGGAAGCCCGTTCTGATTTCGTCATTCAGATTATTAGTGAATATCTGCGGCTTGAATCTGCTGTCTTATATAGGTACTGCAAGTTCTGAGCTTTAAACTATAATTTTTCACCCAAGTTGGCCTTTGTTGGTTGCGTGTTAATGGCGGATCAAGAGTCAATGGAGTCCGTTGTAGGTCCCCCCGGTCTACCATGTTTCATACGAAACCAAGTACACTGGAGAACGCATAGTGCTGTTAAAATCAAGAATAAGCGATCTTCAGAAGTATTTCGGCAGGGTTTTTGGATGATTCTGGTTGCTGTGGTGCTGCAACAATTTCCCATGGCACATGCTACAAGTTCCCCCACACCATGATTACCATTTATCATCATACCATATTAGAGTCGGAACTCTCGCAGACATATTCCTTCACATTCTGTTATGTATCCTTTTAACTTCTTTTGGTGCTTCTCTAGCACGTGAGACGAACAAACTATCGCCCTTTTTGTTTTGCTAGCAATGGGCTCCAAACAGCAACTTTTAACTTTTAAAAGCAGCATGTAGGTTGCCTTTAAAAGCTGCTTTAATAAAAAACAGAATTGAGTCTTTAATAAATATTTTCAATTGTTGAAATACCTTCATTAATTTTTTTAAATGACATTATTTGCCTTCCACACAAATTTAACCCTCAAGAATAAAGTGACCGCTACGACTTACCACCACAAACACTAACCTTACACCATCAATGTCATTATCATCACCATTGTTGCCACCACCACAATCATAATCGTAACCGCCACCATTGCGGCCACAACCACCAACCGCCACTACCACCAGTATCACCACCATAATTGCCACCACCACCACTAGCACCATCATAACCGCAACTACCACCATTGCCACCACAACTACCACCGCCGCCACCAACCATGCCACGAGTGTTACCTCTACACCTCAACCACCACATCCCACTATTAGCACACCACCATACCTCCACTATAACCACAACCAACACCATTGCCACCACAACCACAATTGCCACCATTGGCGCTACCACCGCCCCTAGTACCATTGTTACATGTGCACCCCAACCACCATATCCCACTATGAACACCACCACCATACCTCCACCATTGTTGCTACCATCACCACCATTGTAACCACCACCTCCACCACCATTACCACCATCGTCCTCATCACTGATGTCGTCTCCCCACTCCTACTGCTATGTCCATTTTGTTATTGTATACAATTATATTACTTTTACTATAAAATTTACCAAACATTTTTACACTACTTTTTTTATTCACAACATTTTTAAAATACAGTTAACCAAACGCTCATTTGCTTTATTTTGCAGCTAATTATTCTTAAAACACAACATAAGCAGTTTTTTTTTAAATAAAAAAAAACACAACAATCTCAAATTGGCCTAAGTGTATTTTTATTTCTAAATGTAGAAAGTTTGAAATGCACAATGAATATTTTAGAGTGTCAATAACATCACCTTTAAAATATTATCAGTATATTGTCGTTCTTGTATTTGAATACCAATATTATTAAAGCGTACTTAAGTTGAGTATTTTGAGCATGTACATATTAGTTTTTGGAAGCAAAGCTATTTTAGTTGGTTACTTTGTAAAAGAGCTAGAAATTTGACCAATTCTCTTAGACCTACTCCAACCCTTGGAGTAAAACTCAAATTTTAGGTTCTAAACTTACCCCAACTTGCTCCAACCCTTGGGGCAAATATGAGTTAAAACTCAAAACTCATTTCTGGGACAAATTTAGCCTAGGAATCCCCCTAGGTTAGTGGGGCTAGTCCACTGTATATGTATATTTTTTTTAGATTTATATTTGTAAATTCATTGAATCCAACGGTTAAGAAGATCTAATTTGATGAAATCCAACGGTAAAAAAAATATTTAATAGTCCAAATTTAAATTCAACGGCTGAAGTAATTAAAAAAAATTCTTTTATGTGCTTCATATTCTTTCATAATGTTTCACAAGTTTCATGGTGTCGGTTAGTGATTTTTCAATATTTGTCAGAATCTAAATATTTTTAGGTAAAAATGTTCATAAAATTAAATTAGGATACTCTACATAATTTTTTTTCTTTTAAAAAAGTTATTGTAAGAAAAAAAATTAGCCTAAATTCATTCTATAATGATCTGGGACTAAAATTTTAACCCATAATGGTTGGAGCAAAAAAGTTGTTTTTGGGTTAAAACCTAAGGCCTTTTTTTGGTATCCTATTTGAAAATTTTTATAATTTCTCAAAACATTTCTTAAGAATTTTATTTAAGACTCAAAATTTTGTTTGGTATGCGACTTAAAAATTTTAAATCTTACAACTTAAGCTGAACAAAAATATCCAAAAAGAGGGGGTCGAGAAAGAAAGAGGAGAGAGGAGGAAAGAAAGTAAGAGATGATTGGAGGAAAGAGAAAGAAGTGAGAGGATCGGAGGAGATAGAGAAGAAGAGGAGAGAGAAAGAACCGAAAGAATGAAGAGAGCAAATTGGAGGAGAGACTAAAAAGGCAAAAAAAAAAAAAAAAAAAAAAAAAAGAGAGAGAAGGGGGAGAGAGAAAGAAGAAAAAGAGAGAGAGATCTGGAGTGAGAGGGAGGAGGAGGGAGAGAAAAGAAATGAGTAAATTTAAGTTCAAAAACTCTAAAAACTCACTTTTTGTGTTTTTAGATAATAGACTGTATTTTTGAGTTAGTCTTGAGTTCAGTTTTTTAAAATAGTCCTACCAAACAAGTTTTTAAAGTCTAAAACTTGAAAATTGTTTTTGAATTTAAAAAGTTGGATTCAAGTAGAGTACCAAACATGTTCTAAATTTTCTGAGTTAAAAATTTTAGGTTTTAGCCCAAGGGTTAAAACCTAAATTTTCTGGACAAAAAAGCTATTTTTTAAATGATTCTAAAATGAATAGTTGGTGGCAAAAATCCAAGCTGAGGACATTCAAAGATCTGCATATGGTATTGATCTAGGGAGCCGTTGTTATTTTGTGGTGCGAAATTAGCATTGTGTGTTATTCGTCGCCTTTGGTATCTAAATTTTTGCTACTGGCAGTCCCTCACATAGGCTTCTAGAGTTTTCTCTACTAACCACTTTTGAATCTATCGTTTTTGTACTCGCTGCAGAAAGAAACTAGTACTCATGCTTTGGTTGCATCAATGATGTTCTTTTTGTATGCTAGTTGTTTTTGTTGTAAGTTGTTTTATGTCTGTTTGGACTTTGTTTAATAAATTACTCTACCTTTGACCCCCAAAAAAAATGATAAGAAACATAATTTCAGTCATTGTATCTCAAAAGTTAAAACAAATATAATCAGAAAACTTGTAGCTCACGTGGTTAAACGCGCTTATTTTGCACATATGTTCGAAATCCCCGTTCCAATACCGTAAACAAAAATAATATAAAACTAAAAACTATACGTGATGCGAAATGATGCTATTGTTACTATCGCTTTGCACGCCTGACAAAATCATAGCTTTCACAAAGACACTAGATGCTTTGAATGATATTCAAAGATAGAGACAAGTGACATACAACACAGGGGAGGCAATTTCGTTACCTAACTAGACCCACCTACACTGGGAAAAAGCTAACCAAAAAAAAAAAAATATCTTGGTGGAAAGAACCCTAAAAACCCATCTCTCACCATTAAATTAATATCATAAACAAAAGGAAATAAAAAACTAGAACCAAATTAGGAGAAATATTAAAATTCAAAATTCAAAAATAAAAAAGATCAAATTTCAAGTAGGTTTCAAGTCCTGGAACATAGTATCCCACCTGATCTCTTCAACTCCAGTACACCAATAACCCTCATCATTTGCTTCATCACCATCCATCATCTTTTCCTCCTTCCGTAAATCATACACCACCGGACTCGAAAAGCTGTCGACATGATGGGGTCCGGCGGAAACCACCAGAGGACTCCCATTTGTGAGCAGTAACTGGCTGCCTTGCTTGGCCGTGATCAACTTCTTGTTCCTCTTCAGCATGGCTCCTCTAAACCTTGTCCTGTAATTGCTTGGCCTTGTCACGAGCGCCAGCGCCGTTGAGTCCTGATCCCGGTGAATCCACGTGCGTATGTACTCGGATAAACACCTCTTAGTCCTCTTGATTGCCACCAAAAGCTTTCGCATCGGACGCGGAGTGTTCATGCCCTTTGCTTTTCTTGCAAGCTTGAGGATCTCTAGCCTGTGTTTGGCTATGGAAATTCCCATGCTTTGAAGAAACTCATGGTTGAAATACATTATGTCCTCTTCTTCTAGCTCATTGTGAGCAAAAGCGAGGCCGTACTCGTACACAAGCGACGGCTCTAGGCCGGTTTTTGACAGCCATGAGAACCAATCCATGGATTCAAATGATGTAGGATGATCTAAAAAAAAACTTGTGTAGTTTGTGTGTTAGGATTTGAGAATTGAGATGTAGCTACAGAGAGAGAGAGAGATGATATATATAAAGTTGGAGATGGAGTTTGTTGTGGTAACTTAGACTTACTTTTGGGGGTTTGATTTTTGCAATAGAGGATTGGTGGTTAGTTCAAATCTTGAGGGTGACTAAAGAAAAAAGTGTGGGGTTTGCCTGTCCATTATATCCTCCTCTAAAAGAATTGAAATCCTATTCGAGATTTCTGTGTTTAGAATTGGCAGATCTGGAGATCTGGATCACTCATTTTAACCTTACGGTCTCTATTAGTCAATCTTACTGAGTCACTCACACAATCTAGGGGTCTGAATCTCTCTCATTCTCTTAAACGGTCCAAATTTCTCAGTCTATCAGCTTCAAACTGAAAAATCCAAACAGGATGTGAATTACCTCCAAAATAGGTTAAAGGGAGTGAGAACAAAGGGGTTCCATGTGGAATTGTATTGCCATCAATCACGGCATGGGAACAAAATAGGGTGTGGAGTGGGACAATCCCATTACTTGTGTTTGTGCGTTTTTAGTTGGAAGAAAGTGGAATAAATATACTCTCCAATCCCAGAAATTGACAAGTGCTACCCTAGTTGTTGCAAGAGATAATGAAACTTTAGGGGAGAAATAAATGAGACTTTGGTTAAACCAAAAGTGAAGGCAACTCAATTAGCAATTGATATGATGTCTAATTATATACACATGAATTGTATAATGATGAGTTTGAAGAAAGTAGGTTTCATCATAAAATTAATTGACAAGTGTGATGTTGGAAGCATGCAAAAGATGCAACAACACAAAGTCCCCAATTTTTAAGGACTTCCAAAAAATTTCATCGTCGTGACATGCACATATATTTTCTAATAAAAGTTTAATAAATTGTTTTTGCATGACGATTGAAATTTCTATAACCTGTTGGTCTGAATCACCAACCATGCTTGTTTTTGAGTTGCATTACATTTACACGCATAGACCATTATTTTGGATTCTCTAATGTCAAATAATGCGGTAGGGTAAGGAGTTGCTAATGCTCGTACATAAATAAAATTCATCAACTAACTAAATGAGATACCATCACATCAGTTGCGATTTACAAAGTTAGGATACATAAGTTTTCTTTTTTTTTTTTTTTTTGAACAAACTATAATATTTCTACTAAGGGGTAAGGAAGTGGGCTAAGGTTTCCAATGAGTTTGCAATAATAATATGGTTCAACTTCGTTTTTTGACAAAAATTAAACTTAAGATCTCTCACTTACAAACAAAGATGAATACTACTAGACTATAGTACTAAGAGCTGGAGCAACTAGGATAATTGTTTTTTTTTTTTTCTCTTTTCATGGGCCAAACACGTTGCATGAGTGCAATATAATTTGGCCACCTAAAATGATTCAAAACATCTTTCGAAACCACCAATTTTATTTAATCATGCAAATTTCTAATTAATAAATTGAAGAATCCCCTAATCAAAGAAGTCAATTCCGAGGCTGGTTGTTGTGCCGTTTGATTACTGAAATCTTATATAAGCAATCTGTGACATGGGAATCTGGTGCAGATTGACTGTAATTAAGTATAAAGCTTTCTTCTTCTTTACTAAACTGGAAGAAGTAACAATGATTAACATGTTACTTAATCTTGCAGTATTTAATCATGCAGAAACTAATTATTCATAATTTTAGACTAATATAGCATCTGAAAACGTTACAGAAGTGAGAAGGCAAATGCTTGAAAAAATAATTAATTAATTAATTAATTGTGCAAGTTTATGGTAGTAGGTTTTTTCTGCCATCGTCAACTAATTGATTTCTAGTATTTTGTCATCTGGGACACTATTTGGAAGGAGACAATTTTTCCATAGCTATGCCCTAACAACTTATGGAAATTTTCTTTAATAAAAAATGATTTTTTTGTATATTAGTGTATAGGTTTAATATTAAATTTCAATGTTTTATTTTGTTTTTTATATTACGATACATTTATAATAAGGAATGAAAATTTTGGCTAGGAGCATACAGTGAGAGTCATAATAAATTGGTATCAACTCATCCACGAGAGTTAAAATACCTCTCACTTAAAAGTTGAAAGATATATGCGTAACTTAAGTCATTCTGGCTTGAAGTTGTGGAATACTTCAGTACTGGTATTGAAAGTAATCAATCTATCCCTGAACTTTTGACAATAAAAATAATATTAGAAAGATATACATCTACGTTGTAGCTTGACTACTTCTACTTTAGCCTTCTAACTCTAAATATACATTAAACCAAGTCCTCATAAAGCCAATCTTAGCGTATGAGGCACCCAAAAAATCCCCAGTGCATCTTTAGGTCGGTCGGGTTGCTGCCTTCTAGAGATTTTGCTTTGACCGTCCGCCAATCTGCCAACTGGCACTGCCCAATAAAAAGAAAGCCACTAATTATTCATTAATATAAAGTGTCTTCTTTCTTTTCGTTCCATCAACTTTAAACTTAGACACATATGGGTGATATTTTAGTTTATTTATTAAAAGATTCAAAACTTATTTGTTGCTATTTAAAAGAAAGAAGGTGGTTTTCGTATACTGCTTTTAGTTTTTTGCACTTTTTTTATTTATTATTAAAGTAGTTTGTGAGAGATTCATTTTACTTCTTATACATATTTTTAATTTTTAGTTGTTGGATTAAATAAATTGAAGAATATTAACGGACAGAAATTATCAAGAAATGTGTGAGAAGTAAAATGAGGTGTATGGATAGCACACCTCTAAGTTTAATATAAAGAGTCATGTCTAGTTTAGATGAAAAACTTATATATAGAGCTCTATAAATAAAAAGACTACTCAAAGATAATACCACATAGAGATAATACTACACTTTCAATTAAATTCTCGTCTCTTCACTTATATGTGAAAGATCTTAGTTTCCAATTTTTAAATTTGCAATTTAGTAGATAATTTATATTCTCATTCCCTTAATGTAAATATATTGTTATATAAAAAAAATAAATATTTCTCTATATATAGTATATTTCACTAATTCATTTACTCCCCCTATTATATCCTCTCCTATTCATACTTCGTCAATGGCCAACCGATAGACAATTGGTACTCCTGTTTGCCGTAATTGTGTTTAGTGGATTAGACATATCCTGTGAGATTTCAGGAGTTATAACTTGAAAATGTAGACAACTCTTACAACATGTACGTAAGGAGGCGTCTACAATTTTAGGACAACAACTATGTTTCTCCTTGCTATAACGTTATAGATATACTCAACTCTTTCGTATTAATTGTATTGTTTTATATATGTACGTGTCATTTGGTTATCATTTAATTGATTGAATTTAAATGAGTACTATAATAATATTTAATTAAAATTACTAACACATATTGAAATTTAGCTCCAACAAATTGGCGACTGCAAAATTACCCGTAGACATTTGTTCTTTGCGCCACAATTCACATGCCCCTATCAATTACAATTTAGACTAGAAGAGGTTCACGGGCCCTATTAAGTGGAGCACTATTTCCATGTGAAGAACAAATCTGCTTTTTGTTGATCTGCTTATTCTTCGTTATCTTTTATTCTTTTTGTTGATTGGAGGTTTTGAAACAAACAAGTGACACGAAAGAAAGCAAAGGTATCTCTGATTCTGATTTATATATACAATTGTGAGAGTTGAAGATCCAACAAACAAGCCGAGATGCAATCCAAATGACCACCCCAACTAACAATAATTAACAACATAATAAAATGCCGGCCTTTCGGTTATCATCTTGTCAACATAATCACACTAATAATACTTGTGTTCCCAATGGGAATTTACATATTTCACATTTCATACCTAACATATGATCATCTTATGAACTCCATAATTAGAATCGTTCAATTTCTTAATCTTCATATGAATTTTGTTCCTACAAAAAAAAAAAAAAAATTGAACAAGAGATCATTTTAGGCACTTAATGTATCAAACAAATGAACAAATCATCTTGAATATGTTACTCTGTACTCACCCTATCAGTTTGTTCCATATACATAGATGACTAAACGATTTCCGATTCGAATAATTTTTTTGCAGGGACGATCTTCAAATGAAGATTAAGAAGTTGAACAGTTCTGATTATAAATTTATATAGTAAATATACATTATTTGAAAGAAGCAGAATATGTGCATCCCCATAAGGGAACTAGTACTATCCATACTCAGTATGCATCCATCTAACCTAATATACTATACGAGTGTGCATGCATGCATCTAACTAGGCAAGCAATTATCATTTAATTCTTTTACTACAAGCAACATTATTATTTAAACTAAACTAAAAGGAGAGAAGGGGAAGGTTTGAACCTAAAATGTAAGGAGTTGTATTGTCGTCCATGTCATTTGTGGCAGCGGTGATGGTGGAGTTGTAGATGTTCTTGAGGATGTCGTCCATGGTGATGGACGGGTGCTTGTGATGGTTGTCGTCGTCGTCGGCTATGAAAGTGGAGAGGGAACATAGAGACGACCCTCTATGAGACATTTCCGAATTCGTGGTTCCACATGTACACTTCGTTATTGAAAGCGTTGGGCCCACATGTACACTACACGAGCACACTATCAGAAATAACACATTGCTTTACCGCATTAATATTTAAGAAGACTATCAGAAATAACACATTGATTTACCGCCTTAATATTTAAGAACGACATTGATTGATTTTGTAATTTAACGGGAATTTCACAAAATATTTGTGGTAAAAACCTTTCAGAAAGAACCCATTTTTTCTGTGCAACCAAACTCGCTTCTGTTACTGTCGGGTTTAGGCTACAACGGCTCCGACTATGCTCAAATGATACATCGTCATTTATCTCACTTGCGTTCGCTCTCCACTCTCTCTTCACCGACTTCACTAACCCATCATCTCTTGCAATGCAACAAAGAAATCTACAGGCTCTCCCAACTCGGCCGAGCAACAGATGCACGCCAAGTGTTTGAACGAATGCCTCACCGAGACTCCGGCTCTTGGAACACTATGATTTCTGGGTACATCCAAAATGGGCATTTGAACAAAGCCCAAGAGCTCTTTGATTCATTCCGAGATAAAAATGTGAGAACTTGGACCATTTTGTTATCCGGGTATGCGAAATATGGGCATGCGGATGAAGCTAGAGCGGCGTTTGAGTCAATGCCTGAGCGTAATGTAGTTTCTTGGAATGCTATGGTTACTGCTTATGCGCAAAATGGTTTGTTAAATAGTGCTAGGGAGGTTTTTGATCAAATGCCTGAGAGAAATGTAGTGTCATGGAATTCAATGATTACCGGGTACTGTCGTTGCGGTAGGATGAATGTAGCTCGTGAGCTTTTTGATCAAATGGAGGACAGGAACATTACCTCTTGGATGGTTATGGTTTCTGGTTATGTTGAGATAGGTGCGTTTCGTGAGGCTTGGATGGTTTTTTTGATGATGTTGAGGAGCAGTGTGAGGCCAGACCAGGCCATAATAGTTGCTGCCTTATCAGCTGTGATGAGGTTAGACAAATTGGAGTTGATTGAGAGTTTAAGGGTACTGGCTTTGAAGACAGGGTGTGAGAGCAATGTGGTAGTGGGCACGGCAATATTGAATGCTTATACAGCAAATGGAAGTTTGGAAGATGCGGCGAAGTTTTTCGTGAGAATGCCACAAAGGAATGATTACTCGTGTTCGACAATGATTGCTGCATTTTCGCAGTGTGGTAGGTTGGATGATGCCATTGCATTGTATGAGATAGACACTGAAAAAGGTGTCGGTACACAGACGGCAATGGTAACTGCCTATGCTCAGAATGGGTGGATTCACGAAGCAAGGCATATATTTGATAAAATTGGAAACCCTACTGTGGTTGCATGGAATGCCATGGTAGCAGGGTATGTCCAGAACAGAATGCTTGAAGAAGCAAAAGATATATTTTCCAAAATTCCGGTACCAAATGCTGCTTCATGGGCAGCCATGATTTCTGGGTTTGTCCAGAACGGACAAAGCAAAGAAGCTCTGGAGCTCTTTGCTGTGCTACATAGATCAGGCACTGTACTACCAAGTCATTCAAATTTCACAAGTGCTCTCATCGCATGTGCAAATATCGACGATGTTGAGATGGGGAAACAAATACACTCGCTCGCTATTAAAACAACGTACCAATTCAATTCATTTGTAGGAAATGGGTTGATATCCATGTATGCAAAGTGCAAAACCACAGATATATCACAAGCTTCTAGGATAAAGAGAGTGAGAGACACAGTATCTTGGGTTTCAGAAAGTTGTACGTTGGATGATGCTCGAAAAGCTTTTGATCAAATGCCAAAACAGGATGTCGTGTCATGGTCTGCTATTATATCAGCTTATGAGCAATCCGGACAAGGAGATATTGCGTTCAAATTGTTCCTTGAAATGTTATCCAGGGGACTGAAACCAAACCAATCAACAATAACCAGCCTCCTCAGTGCTTGTGGATACCTTGGTGCAACCAAGCTTGGGGAACAGATTCATGCCTTGATACACAAACTTGGACTGGATTCATGTTTGTTTGTGTGCAATGCTTTGATAACAATGTACTTCAAGTGTGGAAGCCCCGATGGCCTTTGTATCTTTCAAGAGATGCCTGATCGAGATATTGTCACTTGGAATGCTGTTTTGACTGGGTGTGCTCAAAACGGATTAGGCAAAGAAACTGTTGAAGTTTTCAAACAAATGGAAACTACTGGGATTTCTCCGAATGAAATTACTTTTGTAGCACTTTTATGCGCTTGTAGCCATGCTGGGTTAGTAGATGAAGGACGGGCTTATTTCAATTCCATGAGCCAACATTATGGGATTACGCCCTTGGTTTATCACTATACCTGTATGGTTGATCTCCTGGGTAGGGCAGGATTACTTTCTGAATCTGAAGATCTCATTCAGAGCATGCCGGTAGAACCAGATTTCGTGATTTGGGAAGCACTTCTTGGTGCCTGTAGGATCCATCGAAACACTGAACTTGGCCAGAGAACAGCTGAAAGGCTTTTCCAAATGGGAACACGGAGATCTGGAACCTATGTTTTATTATCAAATATGTATGCATCTAAAGGCATGTGGGAGAAAGTGCGGGAAGTAAGGGAAATGATGAAAGATAGGGGAGTGACCAAAGAACCCGGATTCAGTTGGATTCAGATGAATAAGGTTCACTATTTTCTAATGGGGGATAAGGCACATGACAACATCAAAGAGATAAACCTGACAGTAAATGAGTTGTACAAACGCTTCCGCGCAACAGGTTATGTGCCGGATACTAATTTTGTTCTTCATGATGTGGCAGAGGAGCAAAAAGAGGATGACCTTGTATACCACAGTGAGAAACTTGCTGTTGCATATGGAATCCTGCAGACACCAAATGGTAGTCCAATTCAGATTCTGAAGAACCTCCGAATATGCGGTGACTGCCATTCGTTTATGAAATTCGTCTCCAGTGTCGCCAAGCGCAAAATCATTCTCCGAGATGGAAATAGGTTCCACCATTTTCAAGATGGTTTGTGCTCTTGTGGTGACTATTGGTGACCATGGTGGATGAGCATTCAGCAGAAACCTTGATTTATTCATATTTTTCTTTCTTCATACAGAATGTTAATTAGATTAGGGATGTAACAATGATGGATTTCTTTCTTGTATATTAATACCTCGAGCTTTAATACTATCTGACGGGTTTGTTTACTGTCATTTTTCCGCCTATTGCATCTTTAAGGCAATCATTTTCACATATTCAACTCAGAGACATCATTTGAAAAGAAAATAGGCCAAAGAAAAAAAATTCATGACACAATGTCCGAAAGCCAAACGTATAAACGATGTTAAAAAATTTCCTTAAAAAAGCAGGTTGTTTACACAGTATCATCCAAAAACAGAAAAAATATTGCTCATACTGTTACAATAGTGTTTAATGTTGTGGAGAGGGGAAGGAATGGAACAAAAAGGGTAACAATTGTGTGAATACTTTTGAATTAATCTTAACATAACCTACATGTGGTAGCAAACATTCCACGAATTCTGAATCAACCTCCCAGAATCCCTCAGAACTCGGGAACTATACAAGACATTATAACCGGAACAAGAGCGCATCCCCTTCAACCTTGCCGAACGCATATTCCCACCCCCTAAGTTCCTGGCCAAGGATCCACTCGCACCGGTTTCATTTGACTGTTTGGATCAGACAGGCAGCATACCAGCAGGTATACAGGTAGTCTTCCCAGGTGAAAATCCGTGCAAAGCAACAACACTCAAACCTTTATAACAAGGATCATTCAGATTTGCTTCTGAGACTATAAATATTGCCAATAATTCCAACAATGCTGACTGCTACTGCCATTACTAACATGAACCATGACAAGGTCTTCTCTACAACGCTCAAGCCTTCCCCTTTCCGACCTAACTTTAAAGCAATGAGGGAAGGAAATATAAACCCCAATGACACGGCAGTTGTTGCCCCTGTAAACTTAAATGCTGTCCAAATGTTGGGAATCACGGTAGATCCTAAATAAATAAGTCCCAGCAGAACCAGTGTCAATGCAAAACATCTCTTCCTACTCTCCACGAGCGGAGGTGATCCCTCAAACACCAAGGCATCCACTGTTTGCCTCAAGGAAAAATGGACAACAGGGAAAACAAGAAGCAAATGGAAAATGTACCCAACCCTGACAATATAATTCAGTGCTGAGCTGAAACGGATTCCAAGGTCTTTATCGAAGTTGGTCAGAATATCAGACTCTGTATCTTTCCCAAAGAGTAGATATCCTGCAATGGCTGTCAAAGAATAGATCACAATGCAAAGAACAGTTGTGATCCTTCCAACCCGATTCATCTTTTGAGGAGACCGGCCTTCAAGCTCATTGTATATAGGTTGAACATTAAAGTGACAAACATAAGCATTGGTCATGATAGGAATCACCACAAGCAAATCCAAGATTGCCTTGGTCGACCCAAAATCCGGTGACATCCTTGGAGAATCAATTTTCCCTTCAACAAGCTTAATAAACGCAATAGCACAAGCAACTACAACAAACACAACTGCAAGAGCTACCGAAGCAGCTGAAGTCAAGCTCAAGGAGTCAATCTTCTCCAAGGCGCAAAGTGGTGCCAGACAAACCACCACCACAGCAAAAATCAGAAGCATTCGATGATCCCAAACCCCATGTCCTAACCATTGATCGAAAACCCCAATATGATGGAGTGAACCAGACATGACATCACCCATAATTATCAAATACACCACCAACACCCCTGCATTATTGATAATTATGCAGATCTCCGACACAATCCTCCAGGGCCTACCCAACGCACATTGAACAACCTCCCCATAAGACGATGCCTTACACAAAACCGAAAACCTCACCAACAATTCAACACTAATTTCTGACAAAATACCCATCAAAATTATCAAAACAAACCCCCAAACCAAGCCAAGAACCTTCATGGTAGCAGGCAAAGCCATAATCCCAGCCCCAATAATCGACGTCGTAAGATTAAACACCGCCCCGGAAATTCCAGACCCATTCTTAGACCCCTCAACAATTAAAGGGTAACTACCAATATCGAAATCAAGATTATCACTGAAATCATCACTGCCATCATTCCCATTCAAATTATTGGAATCTAGAAAGCTTTCCTCATCAAAATCCGACAATTTGGAATGGGATTTTGAAAGATTTTCTGGGTTTTCAGAATCATACTGCGATTGCAATTCTACGTACGACTTCTTAGGGATAGCTGAATAGTTGCTATCCATTGTAAACGAACAAAGCAAGATAAAGATATCGAAGCAATTCAGATCTGAGAAAAGAAGAAGATGCATGAAAAACTTACACAGAGAAATGGGGTTTCCGCATTCGGATTGGAAATGGAGAAAAGATTTGGGCTTTGTGATGTTTTCCCGGCGGTGATCTATGGATCTCAAAAGGTCAACAACTTCTCTCTCCATTGCGACCAATGGAAGATGGGTTTTGGGAGTAAATAAGGTTTTCCAATTGGCTGATTTTTCAAACGTGTACCTTTCCGCGCCGTGGATTTTGGATTTACATTTACTCTTCCTCTCACCCAACTCCCCATTCATTTTTAATAAAATTTTTAATTATAAATTTGCCCATTTGTAAAAGACAGATAAAATTGTTATTTGTTGTAAACTTTCCTAGTTTATATATGATTGTGTAAATCCTAAATTATATTTGATTCTAGTTATCATTTTCTATTATATTTGATTCTAGTTATGCATCGCGTCATATACGATCCAGACCTGTCTGGGCCACCCTTTTGGGCCTAACCGTTTCCTCTGGCCTACGTGAAAAAAATAAATAAATTTGGTCCTTGGGCTCACCTGCAACGGCTCATACCATTGGCCGGTCTCTACCCGTGGGCCTGCAACTTGCACCCTAGACACCCCAGCCCAATTTTTGGGCCTAGGTCACATGGACCGTTTTTGCTCAGCCCACCCGTGGGCTTTGATCCAATTTTTGGCCCCAACCTTCGATTATTTAATATTTTTAAATAATTTGGGTTTTATATTTTTCACCACACTTTAAATTTGGTCTGAAGTCCAAATAATTAATTCAATTATAATTATAGACCTAAGTTCTATTTGCATATTTTTGTTGCATATTTATGTGTATATATTTATGTTTGCCTACAGGAACATATGAACCTGAAGTTTCTTATAAACATGCCTTGTTTGAAAACCTGAAGTTTTCTTTAAAAACATCACCCATGAAAACCCGAAGTTTTTTCATGCAAAATTAAACCAATACATGTCTATTAGAACCTGTATGTTCTACTTCTATGTGAATTGATTGATTTTTTTCTCCATTACACTAACCACATCTTGTCCACCTATTTTGTGATAGGAACATGTCGAATTTGAACAAACTCGACTTCACCACTTTGGAGGTCTCTGGAAGAAACTACCTCAGGTGGGTCCAAGATGTGAAGCTCCAACTCACAGCAAAGAACTTGTGTCCCGCCATTGAAGAAGAAATGGACAATCCTGTTCGAGAAGCTGAAAAAGCCACTGCTATGATCTTCATCTGAAGACATATCCATGACGCTCTGCAAACTGAATATCTTGCTAATGAGGTTCCACGTGCAATATGGGTCGCTTTGGCTCATTGTTTTGATCACCAAAATGACATATTCTTGCCTGAAGCAAGACATGACTGCAACATATGCGCTTCCAAGACTTTAAGTCTGTGAAGGCATATAATTTTAAAGTTTGTCGAATCCGATCACTTCTCAAGTTTTGTAACAAAACTTTGACTGAAAAGGATCTCCTGAAGAAGACCTATTCGACCTTCTCTGCTTCTAATATTGTCTTGCAACGACAATATAGAGCTCGGAAGTTCACTAAGTTCTCGAATTTGATCTCTGTTTTACTTCTTGCTGAAAAGCAGAACCAGCTGTTAATGAAGAATTATCAAGCTTGACCTACTGGAGCGACTGTTGTGCCTGAAGCACATTATAGCACAAACCAACCCCCAAAACGCCAAAAGAGACGTGGTATGGGCGGCCAGAAACCACCCCGCGAAGGTCAACAGAGTCAAGGCCCATCCAAGGGAGGAAACAAAGCCCATAAGCTCTCAAACCTCGCTCCCAAGGCCCCAAACTTCAAGAATAAAGGCTAAGCACCTGAAACCATGGATGCAAACATATGTTATCGCTGCAGTTCAAATGACCATTGGTCATGTGTTTGTCGAGCTCCCCAGAAGGTTGTAGCTGAATATCATTCTCGTCGTAAGAAGTTTGAATCAAACTTCATGCAAGTGGACGAACTGGAGACTACAAAGATGGAGGTTCTGACTTTCAATAGGATACCACCCCTATGGAAGATTAGAATTTTAGACATAAACTATTTTTGAGTTAAAATTGCACAATGGGGCCTAATTCCACCTAGTGGTCAAACCCCCCTTTGTTTTTTTTTTGGTTGATTTTTACCTTTATGTTTGGATTATTTGTTGGTGATTTGTTTTTGGATATTAAGTTTTAATTAATTACCATCCTTGAATAAATGAAATTATTTTGAATTGTTATTTGTTTTTAGAACTTTTATGCATGTGACCGATTCAAATTAATTTTTCATTCTAGGTATGACTAGTGGGGAAGTTAGTTGTCTGGCAGATAATGCATCCATGCACACCGTATTGCATGAACACATCTATTTCACTAACTTCATACCTAAGATGCACCTCTGACAACCTTCTCAAGCCCATCCAACCTGATAGAAGGATACGGTAAGGCACGTATAATGTTGTCCAATGGTACAACCTTAACCATTGTTGAGGCACTCTATTCTCCACATTCCGGAAGAACATTGTTAAATTTCAAGGATATTATAGATAACAATTACCATGCTGAAACCCACATAGAAAACGAAGTTGAATTTCTGTGCATAACTTCCTACAAATATGGCCAGAAACATATTCTAAAGAAGATGGAGCGTATCCCGAGTGATCTGTATACTACAACCATACGCCCCATAGAATGCCACTATGTGGTCGGCCCTATTACTGGGACCCCGCACTAAATTAAACTTTGGCATGATCGTTTGGAACATCCTGGACAAATAGCGATGCGCCGAATCCTAAAATCATCACACGAGCATCCACTAACCAGAAGTTTAGGTTCGATCCAAGGAACCGCATGGCAAACATGTTCTATGGGAAAGCTTATTACTAAGCATT